GACGACTATGCTGCTGATGCCGAGGCAGCCTTTCGTCGAATCCCTGTAGCACCGGATACGGTAGCGTGGAACTTAAGCATTGCTCCCTTCGTTTGAGGGTGTCAAGCAGGCGATGCAGCGTTAACCCCGTCAACACATGTGACTACATAAAGCCCACGCCGCTGATGAGATGAGGGCGGCACCCCGTACCATATCAAGATCACAGTTAAGCACGTTCTTACTCTAGACGAATAACTCAATTGCAAAGCCAAATCACTCCGTTTCTAAGTTACGTGCAAACTAATCTGACGCTTCATATCATCCCCCGCCGCAAGTATTAAGTAATACGGAAACGTTTCAGGTATCCGAACGCTCCAGTGTTGCCACCGCCCTCGCTCTTTACACCATGGAGGCTAGTCTCCGTATTCGGGCGCACACCCATAAACAAGACAGAGTTATAGTCTAACACAACACCGGTCTTCTCCTTCACGGCCGACAAGCTGACCGACTGGTTCACAGGCCAGTACCACCTGGCCGACATCTTCCGGACATGAGATGCCGCAGACGAGTCAACGGATTGCTTAGAAAGCAGCATCGTAGCCCTGCTACTCTTGTGACTGATAGGCTTCACTCCACTACCCTTGGCCTCACAAACCACAGCACGACTAGACTTGTCGCTGTGCAACGAGGCTTCAAAAATGCTGCTATCCTGAGCCAGTGCGCTAAACTCAGCAGACGTCAGTTCCTTCACCCGAGGGTTGTCCATCCGACCCAAGAGGGAAGGGTCTCCATAACCAAATTGAAACCTCTTGTCCTCCGGATAAATCTGTACCGGGCTGGGCGTACTCAATGTCCCCAGGTTGTTCACAGCAAACACCTCGATGTCCGCATTGGCATACACATCGCCTTCCAGGTCGATTCCAGTGAGGTGCAGCTTCGAAACCGTATTTTATTCCATGTAAGTCCCCAACATGGCACTAACAGGAATTTCCCGTAGTTCTGGCCTTGCCGGTCACCAGACGCAAAAAAAGAGACCGAGGCGCCACCCGGCGAAGTGAACACCGTACTTGTAGCCTCTCCCAGGCTCTGAGCCTCCAATGTCCTCTTCGAGCACCATCCTTGCGCCGACCGTATCCACAGTCGACCTCCGGGTTCTTCTACGTGCGTAACCACTCCGTTGAGTTATGCGACAATAGTACGCCATTGCTGCTTGCGAGAAAGATTGAACCACGTCCGGTTAAGGAGGGGGCTTCCGCCATTCAACTCCTCTTTCAAACGTCTTGCCCCGCATCGTTCATGAATCCTCCTCCCGTCTCCGCCTCAGTGTGCCTCCCCATTTGGATCTCGACCTGCTGAAGTAAGCAGCTGGACCCACACTGCTTCCGTCGGTCCCCTTCGCCGCAGTTTACACACAAAAAAAGACCGTGCCTTTTCTATCAATCATATTTTGAGCCATCGATCCAAAAATATCTACTAATACCTAGACACCAGCTTTTGCCGGCAAACTGGTAGATGGGGCCTTGGGCCTTCGTCTATCAACAACAAACTACAAGACCGCCTGCGGCAGGATGATTGACAATGGACAGCCTTCGGCGACAAGGAGCAAAGGCCTTTCAGGTCGCACAGAGAAACAATAGTGACTTTGTCATCGGAGTGGAACGAGAAGGGCTATCAGCCCGCGTAGAAGCGTAGCGCGAGTGAAACGGGAGCGTGGATGGAGCGTAAGCTGAGCTACAGCGGGGGTGCAAAGGAAGCGAAGCTATTCAGAAGGTGGCTTGCCACCGTATGATTGAAAAGAAAAGAGTTTTAGTCACAACGTTGTCAATTAAGGTACAAGTACAACGTTTCACTACCTCCGTCTCCGGCTGCGGTGTCACAGGGCTCCGCCCTGTATCCCTTTTCGGGATCTCTGCCCGGGTCCTCCAGAGGTGATCAGCTAATTGTCACAAAGTAAAGAATAGTTTGATCACCATCAGTAACATTTCAGCCTTACTGTCTTGAGAAAGTTTACCAAGTTTAGTTTGTTCTGAAGCTTACAGACTAACTGAAAGAAAATGAAGTCATAGTGAACCAAGTCAGAACCACACCAAACAAAGATCAAATCAGTTCATATCAATTCAATTGGGTCTTCCATAGCCACGTTTTCCCAACTACCTCGTCATCCCTCCCGTGCAGCGGACTACTCGTCCTGCCGCTCTCACTCTCAACTAGGCTCTCGCTCTTGCTGTCACATTCCATTCTCTTCCACCCCGTTCAAGGCTGGCTCACGCTACGTGACTAGGCACATTGTGAGACAGAGTCTGCAGCTCTGCCGATCGCTGCCGCCCATGCCCTAATGAATTTATCAACAGTAACGCCCTCCCCGGGCCACCTGGCATCCACGATTTCGCCGCGGGCGAGATACTTGTGCCACTCCCTCATGTTCATCATCGTCGACACCCTCCTCGGTTTGTCCACAAACAACAACACGGTAAAAATGGAGATCCCACTCCGTTCACCAACACTTCCCCAGAAGGACACTTCGTTGCCAAAACGCCTGCCAAGCGTATCTATGAAGTCGCCGATCGACTCCCCTTCCCCCGGTCGGTAGGATATGCAAAAGGCCGATGCCTTTCCCGCGCCCCGGCTCGCATTGGGTGTCGACGCCATAGTCGACTACTGAACAACTTGTCTTCCGCAAGTGTGTGAACGTGTGAGTGGTTTACCGCGGCCCGTCCGTGGAGTGTGCGCTGCAGCTAACCAACGAGTGCTGATGCCAGAACGCTGCCTGCGTCTGGACACAGATACAAAGACAAAAAAGAGAAAAGGCGCCTGAACCAACACACTACAAAGTGCGGGGGACTTCCGTCTTTAAATACTTGGCCTTCCTGGCCTATTATGCGGCCGCTACCACTGCCTATCTCACCCTGTTCGTTCATTGGTCCTCCGGACCCACTTCTAGAGACTCCACTCTCTGTCAGTATCACTAAACCACTTCGGGTTAGTCTATCCTTCTCCCGTCAGTCCCTTCCTCCGAAGCTTATCACCGAAAGTGCACAGACACTTTCTTAGTCAGCTGCATTTTCGACCTGGCCATGGCCCCAAAAAGTGCTTTAACAACTCGACACACAAATTTACTACGTATTTGTTAGATGGGCCAATGGGCCATCGTCTATCAACAACAAATTATAAGACCGGGCTCCGCCCGGGTTGATCGACGACAGGCGGCCTTCGGCGACGAGGAGCAAAGCCAAACGCAGGTGCGCAGCACCGTAGAGAGGCGCAGTGCAGGTGTGCAACACCGTAACAAAGAGAAGCGAAGCAGATCGAAGGTGGTTTACCACCGTAGAGGAGCGCAAGCGGAACGCAAAGGGCTATCAGCCCGCATAGAGAGCAAACGAAGTGAAGCTGGAACGGAGTGAGGAGCGAAGCGATCACGACAGTGGAGGCGCAACGCAGTGGGGCGACTACAGGAGGTGCGTAAGCACCGTATGTTTAAAAAGAAGTGTTAAAGAACACTTAATTGACAATTAGAATCAGTATCACATTGAACACCTTCACTTCGTTCCGGAGTCATGGGCTCCGCCCATACCCCTTTCCATAGTTTGGAATGGGCCTCCGGCGGTGAAAAGCAGATCAGTTTAAGTCAAGATAAAAGAATCAACATCATTTGGGCTCTAACTATCTCTTGGGCTCAGGCACCCTAGTCAACAATAAAAGAAGAACGAGTGAGTACCACAGCAAATGTCACAAAGACCAGGTCACTTTCAACTGTGCAATTCCCATTGCGTCTAGCTCCGCTCTATCCGTTATACTAATTACTCCCTCCTGGTCGTACAGGCATCACACGCTCCTCGCTTATCTCGGCTCTCATCGTCGCCCGGCTCCGAACTTCCCCCAGCCACCCACTCGGTGGCTGTTACCGCCTCAAGGCTAATAGCTCACACCAGCCGCACTGGGCAGCCCCGGCAGCGTCACCCTCGCCGCCGAACAATTATTCACAATCTGATGCGCAAGAAGCCAGGACGTTATTCCCGGACTCTGCACGGTAGAAGGCCTCACGGCAGACAATGCCGTTACACGAAGAAGATCTCTTCCCGACAAAAGCTTCCTAAGCAAAGCGTATGTCACTGGCTTCGAGGGGACTCCCTCCCCAAAAAGCCTAATCCTTGCGGTATTCAGATCCACAGGCGACAGGACCTGCCCCTCCAGTCCCTTCTCCTTCCACAGAGAAATGTGCCCCAGCACGGCAAAGACCAGCTCAGAACAATTCCAAGTCTCGCAGCTCCCGCCGCAAAGTGCTCTCGCAGCCCTCATGACCACCGGGTCTCTGTTCGTTTCAAAAGAAACGCCTCCGTTTTCCGAAAACTTCGTGCTGCCGCCGACAACAAAGCTGTCCGGGTACTGTTTCTCCAAAACACTTAAGTAAGTCAGGGCCGCCGCCCTCACGTCGCCTGAAGTGCAGTTGTCAGCAACTACTCTACACAATCGCCTTCACGGCTTGCATCGATTACTCACCAGGAGTAATAGCTCTATCCATTGACTCTGTCATTGTGTGACTACCAGACACAGTCTGTTCCGCTCCCCGTGCGTATTCGTAACCGAATAAAACCTCCCTGGGTTTATTGAGTGAGATTGTTGCCCGCAACTATCGTCTGTCGACTGGAAGCAAACTCCAAAGTTTGAGTGGTGTTGCGCCCACGCAAGAACACATAAAAAAAAAGGAAAAGTAAAGAAAAGAATGGGTAGAGCACACCACCTGGGTGCATGCCATCTTTTAAATAGTTGGTTGGCCTCCAACACAACCGTTCTACTAAGCGCTTCTTTGAAGCTTGCCGCCCTGCTGTCTCCCTCCCGGTCGTTCATTGGTCCCCTGGACCCACATTCCAAAGTATCCACCCTTTGAAAGTAACGCTAAACCATGATAGGTTTAGTCAACTCACTCCCACTCCTCCGTCATTCCCGTTATTATTACCGGAAAGTGCCCGTGCACTTTCTTAGTCACCAGCCCTTTTGGCTTGGGCCATCGGCCCAAAAGTGCTCTAACACGACAGACAACAGATTTGCTGCGCATCTGTTAGATGGGCCATTGGGCCATCGTCTATCAACAACAAATTATAAACCGGCCACGGGCCGGGGTTGATCGACGACAGGCGGCCTTCGGCGACGAGGAGCAAAGCAGAACGCAGGCGTGCAACGCCGTAGAGAAGCGCAGTGCAGGTGTGCAACACCGTAACAGAGTGGAACAGAGGTGACTTGTCACCGGAGTGCAACGCAAAGGTCTTTCAGACCGCACAGTAGCGCAGCGCGAGCGGAAACGCAGGTGATGCAATCACCAGAGTGCAAGCGGAAGCGAAGCTATTCAGAAGGTGGCCCCGCCACCGGATGACAGAGAGGAACGGAGGTGACAACGTCACCACAGTGGAACGCAAAGGGCAATAAGCCCGCACAGTCACGAAGGTGCGAAAGCACCGCAGGGATGGAGTGAAGCGGAAGCAGAACGCAGGTGCTTTAGCACCAGAGTGAAGCGTGAGCGGGAGCGACCAGAGAAGGTGAGAATCACCGGAACGTAAAGTGCAACGCAGGTACGCAGTACCGTAGTGGAACGCTGTGGGAATCGGGGGGTGCGTAGCGCGAGTGGAGCGCAGCAAGGCGGAACGCAAGTGAAGCCGTAGCGTAGTGCAACGGGAGCGAAGCAAAAGAAAAAAAAGTTTTTAGAAGAACAAACATTGTCAATTAACATCACATTCACATTCATTGATTATCCCAATCAACTTGGGCTTGAACACCTTCGCCTTCGGCTCCGGAGTCACGGGGCTCCGCCCCATACCCCTTTTTTCGGATCTCTCCTCGGGTCCTCCGGAGGTGATCAGCTAGTTGTCACTAAGCAAGGCTCAGCCTAACTGCTTGGGGAAGGCCTACCCCTCTTAGGGTAGATGAGGTTATTCCCGTCAATCTTTCATTTCATTTCAGTCTATTTCACTCCAGTTCAATCACATCAGGTAGCCTCTCGTCTACCATGCTCCGCAACCTAAGCTCCGCCCAAGCCAGCTGCTTGCAGCCATGCCCGTCCCGGGCCAGGTACGAAACAACATTGTGAAATCCCTCCGCGATGTACGTCTCCAGAATACCGAGATCCTCTAGGATCTTAAGTGCCTTGCACCTGTCTGCCTCACGGCCGCTGCTCTCCAGCAAGCAGATTGCCCGGGTCCAACCCTCCATCCACTCCCACCGGTCGTAGCCAGTCGACTGCCACGTCGACCATTCAAATAGTCTCTTAACGAAACCCTTACGCTTCTCCGCGACATATCGTGTGGGTGCCCTGTCTCCGAACAGGAGGAACACCGGCTGTGCCATCACCAACTCCGTGATATTGGCTTCACGCCATGAACCAAAAGAAAAAAGATTCCTCTCAGAATCCAGTGATTCCATCCAGCTCCTTCTCGTCGCGTCCTGTGCTTCTCGCACTCTCTTCAGTGGCTGCCCATCCGGGTCAACAAATACTGTTCACCGGCAACAGTAAGGCAGAATCGTCTCTAGCGATTCCAAACCCTTTTCGCCCAGCAAAAAGAAACCAAAAAGCTGTCCCTCCGTGACAATAGACCACCTCCCGTGAGCTGCTATGTGTTCGGCCGCATCGCCAAACACCGATATTCGTTCGACCCCCAGTCGACTGAAGGAAAAGAAAAAGAAAGAAAGAAAGTGAAAGATCCCATCTTTTTCACCACTCTCGTGTGACGGGCCTTCGTCCCTCTTATACTTCCCGTATTCTTGCTGCCTGCTTCGATCAAACTGGTTGCCCCACAACCATTACTCCAAAGTATCCACTCTTTGGATGTAAGCCTAACCATGTCTGGTTAGCTTGACTCATTCCCGTTTCCTCCGTCACTCCATGATTAGTCACCAAAAAAGCACAGACTTTTTTCTACACTTGGGCCCTGGGCCATGACCCAGGAAACGCCCTTAACAACAATAGACACAGCTTTTGCGGGCAAGCTGTTAGATGGGCCATTGGGCCATCGTCTATCAACAACAAATTATAAACCGGCCACGGGCCGGGGTTGATCGACGACAGGCGGCCTTCGGCGACGAGGAGCAAAGCAGAACGCAGGCGTGCAACGCCGTAGAGAAGCGCACAGCGAAGGTGATGCAATCACCAAAGCGAAAGAGAAGCGTAGCAGAACGCAGGTACGCAGTACCGTAGAGGAGCGCAAGCGGAACGCAAAGGTCTTTCAGACCGCATAGTCACGAAGGTGATGCGAAGCCATCACCGTAGGGAGTGAGCCAACGTAGTGGAACGAGAACGCAGTCGATGCGTCAGCAGAGACGTAGTGGAAGTGCAACGCAGTGGAGCGATTAAAAAGAATTGTTCCAAAGAACAGTTTATTGACAATTAGAATCAATGTGGGCTTTAACTACCTCCGCTTCGCTGCGGTGTCACGGGCTCCGCCCGTACCCAACTTTCACATCTTGGAAGATTTGGATCAGTCAATTGACACTAAGCAAGTAACAGTAGAGGCATTCATTTGGGCATTAACTATCTAAAAGAACAGAGGATGGTTTGTGCTTAAGCCAACAAACTCATTCAAAGATCATGTCACAGTCAAATATACACAGAGTCAAGACATCCGTCAATCAAATCAATTCATCATTCTATTCTGCATGCACGAGCAAGGGGTTCCACCCTGGTCACTCCGCTCCCTCTCCGGTAAATATCATCGCTAACCACCGATGCATCCAACAGGATCAGTCTCCCGCTGAAAGTATGCTGTTCCAACAGAAGAAAAGTCCACTACACGACTTGCGTCGTCACTCCCGCCAGGAGCTTCAACCTCCTCCGCTTCTCTCCGATCGGACCGGCAACAGGCTGGCCCAGGGCCTGCAAGTACGCATTCGCCCTCCCGGCTAGTTCCCTAAAGTCAGTCACCTTCCACCGTCTTCACAGACAACTGGCACTCACCAGAAAGTAGCGCAATCTCCGATACCGTGGTTGGGAAGTCCTCCATAACCTCCCCCGTCTGCAACGACCTCAGCCCCTCCAGCGGCTCATCAGGACGCGTCACCGTCGCGTTCAAGCTCCGAGCCAAGGCGTTCAGCTCACTACCCACTCCGTTTAGCAAAGACTGCTGCTCCACGCACAGAAAACCGCCCTCTGGGGCTTGCAACTCACCTCGCAATGCTCCGTCGCTCCATGCTCCGCAAACGTGTGTCGATGGAATCAACTACCTCCCGTAGTCCCTGCACTGCTCTCAGGAGCTGACCACCGTGGTCAATCACTGGCAGATTGCTGCAAAGCTGAAACTGGTCCCCCAGTTCTGTGAAGCCGGTCGCGATCCTCGCAAAGTCGGGTTGTGGGCCTCTGGCCACCTGAAAAGCATCCATCCCGTCTGCGTTCTGAAGAATACTCGCCTCAGGGCTGCGTGGAATCAGTAGAAAGTCGCGTCCGCGATAGCAAGCAACAAATGCCACCCTTTGTTGTGTCTCCACTAATCACGTCTTCACGTGATGTAATACCGTTGCCGAGCAACTGTTGGCGTCACCGCCTGAGCCAAAACTGCACTCTCGTGCTTGTGTTCCACACATTGGCCGGAAGCTGGATAAAACCAGAAACAAGAACAAAGGAACTCCGTTCATCTTTGGGCCTGCCGTCCGGGGATCGTTCCCCTTTAAATAACTTTCCTAGTGACTCACTCACGTTCAATCAGTCTCCGTCCCGTCACTCAATTGGCTGCCTGCCAACCCGACAGAGACTCCACTCTCTGTCCGTAACACTAACTCAAAAGAGTTAGTCTGACTCATTCCCAGTCCTCCGTCCTTCCCATGATTACTAATGAAAGTGTGCACAGACACTTTCTTACCTGACCGCATTTTTGAGCTGGGTCATGGCCCAGCAAATGCCTACTAACACCTAGACACCAGTTTTGGCTGGCAAACTGGTAGATGGGCCATTGGGCCATCGTCTATCAACAACAAATTATAAACCGGCCACGGGCCGGGGTTGATCGACGACAGGCGGCCTTCGGCGACGAGGAGCAAAGCCAAACGCAGGTGCGCAGCACCGTAG